TGCTACAGAACTCTGTAAAGTACTTCTCTGTACATCCAGGCTACAGAACTCTTGTAAACTGCTTCTCTCTAGACCCAGGATACAGAAATACTGCAAGCTGCGTTTGCTACACTCACCACGGATACCCAGATATAGCGTACTCCAACTCCCAGGCTACAGAACTCTTGTAAACTGCTTCATTCTACACCCAGGATACGGAACTCTGTTAAACTGCATCTCCTACCCCAATGTCACAAAAAGCACGTGAGCTGCATCTCCTACACTCAGGCTATAGAAATCCCACTTATTTCGCATGTCTCTCCCAGGCTACAGAACTCTTGTACACTGCTATCCCAAGACCCGGATACTGAAATACCACAAGCTGTGTCTTCTACACTAAGCCACAGTATCCCAGATATTGGGAATGCCTACTCCCAGGCTACAGAACTGGTGCAAACTGCTTCTCTCAACACTCCAGGTTACTGAAATCCTTACAGTGCGAACGCCTACCCCAGGCATTCATTCTACAGCTCATAGCAAACCCGCATATTGCGTATTGCTAGTCCCAGGCTCCAGAACTCTTGTAAACGCCTTCATTCTACACCCAGGATACAGAATTCTGTAAACTGCATCTCTCCTACCCAACCTAACAACAAGCATGACTGCATCTCCCACATTCAGGTTATAGGAAACCCACATATTGCATATTGCTACTCCCCCGCATGGGCTATAGAAAACCTGCAGAGTGCGTATTGGCTACTCCCACACTACAGAACTCTGTAAAGTGCTTCTAACTACACCGAGCGTACAGAATCCCATAAACTGCATCTCTCACCCACCCAGCTTACTGAACTCCAGTAAGCTGCGTCTCCTACAGTTAAGCTACCAAACCAAAACGCAAATCGCGTATTGCTACTCCCAAGCTACACAACACTGTATACTGCTTTTCTATATACCAGGGAAACAGAACTCTCATCAACTACATTGCCCTTCACCAATGTTACAAAACAACCGTTGCTGCATCTCCCACACTCGTGTTATGGAAACCTGCATATGTGCATTGCTACTCCATGCTACAGAACTCGTAAAGTACTCTCTGTACATCCGGCTACAGAACTCTTGTAAACTGCTTCTCTCTAGACCCAGGATACAGAAATACTGCAAGCTGCGTTTGCTACACCCTTCACGCTACGGATATATCCCAGATAGCGTACTCCAACTCCCAGGCTACAGAACTCTTGTAAACTGCTTCATTCTACACCCAGGATACGGAACTCTGGTTAAACTGCACTCTCTCTACCCCAATGTCACAAAACACGTGCTGCATCTCCTACACTCAGGCATAGAAATCCCCTTATTTCGAATGTCTACTCCCAGGCTACAGAACTCTTGTACACTGCATATCCCAAGACCCAGGATACTGAAATACCACAAGCTGGTCTTCTACACATAAGCCACAGGTATCCCAGATATTGGGAATGCCTACTCCCAGGCTACAGAACTGGTGCAAAACTGCTTCTCTCACACTCAGGTTACTGAAATCCTTTACAGTGCGAACGCCTACCCCCAGGCATTCATTCTACAGCTCATAGCAAACCCGCATATTGCGTATTGCTAGTCCAGGCTCCAGAACTCTTGTAAACGCCTTCATTCTACACCCAGGATACAGAATCTGGTAACTGCATCTCTCTACCCAACCTAACAACAAGCACATGAGCTGCATCTCCCACATTCAGGTTATAGGAAACCCACATATTGCATATGCTACTCCCCCGCATGGCTATAGAAAACCTGCAGAGTGCGTATGCAACTCCCCACACTACAGAACTCTGTAAAGTGCTTCTAACTACACCGAGCGTACAGAATCCCATAAACTGCATCTCTCACCACCCAGCTTACTGAACTCCAGTAAGCTGCGTCTCCTACAGTTAACTACACCAAAACCGCAAATCGCGTATTGCTACTCCCAAGCTACACAACACTGTATACTGCTTTTCTATACCAGGGAAAGAACTCTCATCAACTACATTGCCCTTCACCAATGTTACAAAACAACCGTTGCTGCATCTCCCACACTCGTGTTATGGAAAACCTGCATATTGTGCATTGCTACTTCCATGCTACAGAACTCTGTAAAGTACTTCTCTGTACATCCAGGCTACAGAACTCTTGTAACCTCTTCTCTAGACCCAGGATACAGAAATACTGCAAGCTGCGTTTGCTACACTCACGCTACGGATATCCCAGATATAGCGTACTCCAACTCCCAGGCTCAGAACTCTTGTAAACTGCTTCATTCTACACCCAGGATACGGAACTCTGTAAACTGCATCTCTCTACCCCAATGTCACAAAAAGCACGTGAGCTGCATCTCCTACACTCAGGCTATAGAATCCCACTTATTCGAATGTCTACTCCCAGGCTACAGAACTCTTGTACACTGCATATCCCAAGACCCAGGATACTGAAATACCACAAGCTGTGTCTTCTACCACATAAGCCACAGGTATCCCAGATATTGGGAATGCCTACTCCCAGGCTACAGAACTGGTGCAAACTGCTTGCTCTCACACTCAGGTACTGAAATCCTTTACAGTGCGAACGCCTACCCCCAGGCATTCATTCTACAGCTCATAGCAAACCCGCATATTGCGGTGTTGCTAGTCCCAGGCTCCAGACTCTTGTAAACGCCTTCATTCTACACCCAGGATACAGAATTCTGGTAAACTGCATCTCTCTACCCAACCTAACAACAAGCACATGAGCTGCATCTCCCACATTCAGGTTATAGGAAACCCACATATTGTGTATTGCTACTCCCACGCTACAGAACTCGGTAACTGTTTCTCTCTGTAAGCAGCTTCCACAATTCCCATAAACTGCATCTCTCCACACCCAGCTTATAGAACTCCCGGAGGCTGCATTTCCCTGCAACCACGTTACAGAACACCCATTAGCTGCATCTCCCACCGGGCTATAGAAAACCTGCAGAGTGCATATTGCTACTCCCACACTACAGAACTCTGTAAGTGCTTCTAACTACACCGAGCGTACAGAATCCCATAAACTGCATCTCTCACCACCCAGCTTACTGAACTCCCCTAAGCTGCGCTCCTACAGTTAAGCTACACAAAACCGCAAATCGCGTATTGCTACTCCCAAGCTACACACACTGTATACTGCTTTTCCATATACCAGGGAACAGAACTCTCATCAACTACATTGCCCTTCACCAATGTCACAAAAAACCCCCGTTACCTTGTCTCCCTCATCGTGTTATGGAAAACCTGCATATGGCATTGCTACTACTTCCATGCTACAGAACTCTGTAAAGTACTTCTCTGTACATCCAGACTACAGAACTCTTGTACACTGCTTCTCTCTAGACCAAGGATACAGAAATACCGCAAGCTGTGTCTGCTATACTCACGCTACAGATGTCCAGATATTGCGTACTCCTACTCCCAGGCTACAGAACTCTTGTACACTGCATATCCCAAGACCCAGGATACTGAAATACCACAAGCTGTGTCTTCTACACATAAGCCACAGGTATCCCAGATATTGGGAATGCCTACTCCCAGGCTACAGAACTGGTGCAAACTGCTTCTCTCAACACTCAGGTTACTGAAATCCTTTACAGTGCGAACGCCTACCCCCAGGCATCATTCTACAGCTCATAGCAAACCCGCATATTGCTTTGCTAGTCCCAGCGCCAGAACTCTTGTAAACGCCTTCATTCTACACCCAGATACAGAATTCTGGTAAACTGCATCTCTCTACCCAACCTAACAACAAGCACATGAGCTGCATCTCCCACATTCAGGTTATAGGAAACCCACATATTGCATATTCTACTCCCCCCGCATGGCTATAGAAAAACCTGCAGAGTGCGTATGCAACTCCCACACTACAGAAACTCTGTAAGTGCTTCTAACTACACCGAGCGTACAGAATCCCATAAACTGCATCTCTCACCACCCAGCTTACTGAACTCCAGTAAGCTGCGTCTCCTACAGTTAAGCTACACCAAACCGCAAATCGCGTATTGCTACTTCCCAAGCTACACAACACTGTATACTGCTTTTCTATATACCAGGGAAACAGAACTCTCATCACTACATTGCCCTTCACCAATGTTACAAAACAACCGTTGCTGCATCTCCCACACTCGTGTTATGGAAAACCTGCATATTGTGCATTGCTACTTCCATGCTACAGAACTCTGTAAAGTACTTCTCTGTACATCCAGGCTACAGAACTCTTGTAAACTGCTTCTCTCTAGACCCAGGATACAGAAATACTGCAAGCTGCGTTTGCTACACTCACGCTACGGATATCCCAGATATAGCGTACTCCAACTCCCAGGCTACAGAACTCTTGTAAACTGCTTCATTCTACACCCAGGATACGGAACTCTGTTAAACTGCATCTCTCTACCCCAATGTCACAAAAAGCACGTGAGCTGCATCTCCTACACTCAGGCTATAGAAATCCCACTTATTTCGAATGTCTACTCCCAGGCTACAGAACTCTTGTAAGCTTCTTCTTTCTAGACCTAGGATACAGAAATACGGTAAGCTGTGTCTGCTGCACCAAGGCTACAGATATCCCAGATATTGCGAATGCCTACTCCCAGGCTACAGAACTGGTGCAAACTGCTTCTCTCAATACCCAGGTTACTGAAATCCTTACAGTGCGAACGCCTACTCCCAGGCATTCATTCTACAGCTCATAGCAAACCCGCATATTGCGTATTGCTAGTCCCAGGCTCCAGAACTCTTGTAAACGCCTTCATTCTACACCCAGGATACAGAATTCTGGTAAACTGCATCTCTCTACCCAACCTAACAACAAGCACATGAGCTGCATCTCCCACATTCAGGTTATAGGAAACCCACATATTGCATATTGCTACTCCCCCGCATGGGCTATAGAAAACCTGCAGAGTGCGTATGCAACTCCCACACTACAGAACTCTGTAAAGTGCTTCTAACTACACCGAGCGTACAGAATCCATAAACTGCATCTCTCACCACCCAGCTTACTGAACTCCAGTAAGCTGCGTCTCCTACAGTTAAGCTACACCAAAACCGCAAATCGCGTATTGCTACTCCCAAGCTACACAACACTGTATACTGCTTTTCTATATACCAGGGAAACAGAACTCTCATCAACTACATTGCCCTTCACCAATGTTACAAAACAACCGTTGCTGCATCTCCCACACTCGTGTTATGGAAAACCTGCATATTGTGCATTGCTACTTCCATGCTACAGAACTCTGTAAAGTACTTCTCTGTACATCCAGGCTACAGAACTCTTGTAAACTGCTTCTCTCTAGACCCAGGATACAGAAATACTGCAAGCTGCGTTTGCTACACTCACGCTACGGATATCCCAGATATAGCGTACTCCAACTCCCAGGCTACAGAACTCTTGTAAACTGCTTCATTCTACACCCAGGATACGGAACTCTGTTAACTGCATCTCTCTACCCCAATGTCACAAAAAGCACGTGAGCTGCATCTCCTACACTCAGGCTATAGAAATCCCACTTATTTCGAATGTCTACTCCCAGGCTACAGAACTCTTGTACACTGCATATCCCAAGACCCAGGATACTGAAATACCACAAGCTGTGTCTTCTACACATAAGCCACAGGTATCCCAGATATTGGGAATGCCTACTCCCAGGCTACAGAACTGGTGCAACTGCTTCTCCTCAACACTCAGGTTACTGAATCCTTTACAGTGCGAACGCCTACCCCCAGGCATTCATTCTACAGCTCATAGCAAAACCCGCATATTGCGTTTTGCTAGTCCCAGGCTCCAGAACTCTTGTAAACGCCTTCATTCTACACCCAGGATACAGAATTCTGGTAAACTGCATCTCTCTACCCAACCTAACAACAAGCACATGAGCTGCATCTCCCACATTCAGGTTATAGGAAACCCACATATTGCATATTGCTACTCCCCCCGCATGGGCTATAGAAAACCTGCAGAGTGCGTATGCAACTCCCACACTACAGAACTCTGTAAAGTGCTTCTAACTACAACCGAGCGTACAGAATCCCATAAACTGCATCTCTCACCACCCAGCTTACTGAACTCCAGTAAGCTGCGTCTCCTACAGTTAAGCTACACCAAAACCGCAAAATCGCGTATTGCTACTCCCAAGCTACACAACACTGTATACTGCTTTTCTATATACCAGGGAAACAGAACTCTCATCAACTACATTGCCCTTCACCAATGTTACAAAACAACCGTTGCTGCATCTCCCACACTCGTGTTATGGAAAACCTGCATATTGTGCATTGCTACTTCCATGCTACAGAACTCTGTAAAGTACTTCTCTGTACATCCAGGCTACAGAACTCTTGTAAACTGCTTCTCTCTAGACCCAGGATACAGAAATACTGCAAGCTGCGTTTGCTACACTCACGCTACGGATATCCCAGATATAGCGTACTCCAACTCCCAGGCTACAGAACTCTTGTAAACTGCTTCATTCTACACCCAGGATACGGAACTCTGTTAAACTGCATCTCTCTACCCCAATGTCACAAAAAGCACGTGAGCTGCATCTCCTACACTCAGGCTATAGAAATCCCACTTATTTCGAATGTCTACTCCCAGGCTACAGAACTCTTGTACACTGCATATCCCAAGACCCAGGATACTGAAATACCACAAGCTGTGTCTTCTACACATAAGCCACAGGTATCCCAGATATTGGGAATGCCTACTCCCAGGCTACAGAACTGGTGCAAACTGCTTCTCTCAACACTCAGGTTACTGAAATCCTTTACAGTGCGAACGCCTACCCCCAGGCATTCATTCTACAGCTCATAGCAACCCGCATATTGCGTTTTGCTAGTCCCAGGCTCCAGAACTCTTGTAAACGCCTTCATTCTACACCCAGGATACAGAATTCTGGTAACTGCATCTCTCTACCCAACCTAACAACAAGCACATGAGCTGCATCTCCCACATTCAGGTTATAGGAAACCCACATATTGCATATTGCTACTCCCCCGCATGGGCTATAGAAAACCTGCAGAGTGCGTATGCAACTCCCACACTACAGAACTCTGTAAAGTGCTTCTAACTACAACCGAGCGTACAGAATCCCATAAACTGCATCTCTCACCACCCAGCTTACTGAACTCCAGTAAGCTGCGTCTCCTACAGTTAAGCTACACCAAAACCGCAAATCGCGTATTGCTACTCCCAAGCTACACAACACTGTATACTGCTTTTCTATATACCAGGGAAACAGAACTCTCATCAACTACATTGCCCTTCACCAATGTTACAAAACAACCGTTGCTGCATCTCCCACACTCGTGTTATGGAAACCTGCATATTGTGCATTGCTACTTCCATGCTACAGAACTCTGTAAGTACTTCTCTGTACATCCAGGCTACAGAACTCTTGTAAACTGCTTCTCTCTAGACCCAGGATACAGAAATACTGCAAGCTGCGTTTGCTACACTCACGCTACGGATATCCCAGATATAGCGTACTCCAACTCCCAGGCTACAGAACTCTTGTAAACTGCTTCATTCTACACCCAGGATACGGAACTCTGTTAAACTGCATCTCTCTACCCCAATGTCACAAAAAGCACGTGAGCTGCATCTCCTACACTCAGGCTATAGAAATCCCACTTATTTCGAATGTCTACTCCCAGGCTACAGAACTCTTGTAAGCTTCTTATTCTAGACCTAGGATACTGAAATACGGTAAGCTGTGTCTGCTGCACCAAGGCTACAGGTATCCCAGATATTGCGAATGCCTACTCCCAGGCTACAGAACTGTGCAAACTGCTTCTCTCAACACTCAGGTTACTGAAATCCTTACAGTGCGAACGCCTACCCCCAGGCATTCATTCTACAGCTCATAGCAAACCCGCATATTGCGTATTGCTAGTCCCAGGCTCCAGAACTCTTGTAAACGCCTTCATTCTACACCAGGATACAGAATTCTTGTAAACTGCATCTCTCTAACCCAACCTAACAACAAGCACATGAGCTGCATCTCCCACATTCAGGTTATAGGAAACCCACATATTGCATATTGCTACTCCCCCGCATGGGCTATAGAAAACCTGCAGAGTGCGTATGCAACTCCCACACTACAGAACTCTGTAAAGTGCTTCTAACTACACCGAGCGTACAGAATCCCATAAACTGCATCTCTCACCACCCAGCTTACTGAACTCCAGTAAGCTGCGTCTCCTACAGTTAAGCTACACCAAAACCGCAAATCGCGTATTGCTACTCCCAAGCTACACAACACTGTATACTGCTTTTCTATATACCAGGGAAACAGAACTCTCATCAACTACATTGCCCTTCACCAATGTTACAAAACAACCGTTGCTGCATCTCCCACACTCGTGTTATGGAAAACCTGCATATTGTGCATTGCTACTTCCATGCTACAGAACTCTGTAAAGTACTTCTCTGTACATCCAGGCTACAGAACTCTTGTAAACTGCTTCTCTCTAGACCCAGGATACAGAATACTGCAAGCTGCGTTTGCTACACTCCGCTACGGATATCCCAGATATAGCGTACTCCAACTCCCAGGCTACAGAAACTCTTGTAAACTGCTTCATTCTACACCCCAGGATACGGAACTCTGTTAACGGCATCTCTCTACCCCAATGTCACAAAAAGCACGTGAGCTGCATCTCCTACACTCAGGCTATAGAAATCCACTTATTTCGAATGTCTACTCCCAGGCTACAGAACTCTTGTACACTGCATATCCCAAGACCCAGGATACTGAAATACCACAAGCTGTGTCTTCTACACATAAGCCACAGGTATCCCAGATATTGGGAATGCCTACTCCCAGGCTACAGAACTGGTGCAAACTGCTTCTCTCAACACTCAGGTTACTGAAATCCTTTACAGTGCGAACGCCTACCCCCAGGCATTCATTCTACAGCTCATAGCAAACCCGCATATTGCGTTATTGCTAGTCCCAGGCTCCAGAAACTCTTGGTAAACGCCTTCATTCTACACCCAGGATACAGAATCTGGTAAACTGCATCTCTCTACCCAACCTAACAACAAGCACATGAGCTGCATCTCCCACATTCAGGTTATAGGAAACCCACATATTGCATATTGCTACTCCCCCGCATGGGCTATAGAAAACCTGCAGAGTGCGTATGCAACTCCCACACTACAGAACTCTGTAAAGTGCTTCTAACTACACCGAGTCGTACAGAATCCCATAAACTGCATCTCTCACCACCCAGCTTACTGAACTCCAGTAAGCTGCGTCTCCTACAGTTAAGCTACACAAAACCGCAAATCGCGTATTGCTACTCCCAAGCTACACAAACACTGTATACTGCTTTTCTATATACCAGGGAAACAGAACTCTCATCACTACATTGCCCTTCACCAATGTTACAAAACAACCGTTGGCTGCATCTCCCACACTCGTGTTATGGAAAACCTGCATATTGTGCATTGCTACTTCCATGCTACAGAACTCTGTAAAGTACTTCTCTGTACATCCAGGCTACAGAACTCTTGTAAACTGCTTCTCTCTAGACCCAGGATACAGAAATACTGCAAGCTGCGTTTGCTACACTCACGTACGGATATCCCAGATATAGCGTACTCCAACTCCCAGGCTACAGAACTCTTGTAACTGCTTCATTCTACACCCAGGATACGGAACTCTGTTAAACTGCATCTCTCTACCCCATGTCACAACAAGCACGTGAGCTGCATCTCCTACACTCAGGCTATAGAAATCCCACTTATTGCGAATGTCTACTCCCAGGCTACAGAACTCTTGTACGCTTCTTCTTCTAGACCTAGGATACAGACAATACGGTAAGCTGTGTCTGCTGCACCAAGGCTACAGATATCCCAGATATTGCGAATGCCTACTCCCAGGCTACAGAACTGGTGCAAACTGCTTCTCTCAACACTCAGGTTACTGAAATCCTTACAGTGCGAACGCTACCCCAGCATTCATTCTACAGCTCATAGCAAACCCGCATATTGCGTATTGCTAGTCCCAGGCTCCAGAACTCTTGTAAACGCCTTCATTCTACACCCAGGATACAGAATTCTGGTAAACTGCATCTCTCTACCCAACCTAACAACAAGCACATGAGCTGCATCTCCCACATTCGGTATAGGAAACCCACATATTGTGTATTGCTACTCCCACGCTACAGAACTCGGTAAACTGTTTCTCTCTGTAAGCAGCTTCCCACATTCCCATAAACTGCATCTCTCCACACCCAGCTTATAGAACTCCCGGAGGCTGCATTTCCCTGCAACCACGTTACAGAACACCCATTAGCTGCATCTCCCACACACGGGCTATAGAAAACCTGCAGAGTGCATTATGCTACTCTCCACACTACAGAACTCTGTAAAGTGCTTCTAACTACACCGAGCGTACAGAATCCCATAAACTGCATCTCTCACCACCCAGCTTACTGAACTCCCCTAAGCTGCGTCTCCTACAGTTAAGCTACACAAAAACCGCAAATCGCGTATTGCTACTCCCAAGCTACCACAACACTGTATACTGCTTTTTCCATATACCAGGGAAACAGAACTCTCATCAACTACATTGCCCTTCACCAATGTCACAAAACCCCCGTTACCTGT